TCAGAGGAGACAGCATCAATTCTTTCACTTTTCCCTTGGGTTTCGGGGTCACAATTGGCAGCACCCAGGGCTTACTCTTAGCTCTGTGTACAGGGATTACTCCTGGCACTGTTCAGGAGACCAGAGGGGACACTGGAGATGGACTCTGAGTGGGGCATGTGCAAGGCCCGTGCCTTACCCATGTGCTATCTGACCAGCACATCCATTCTTTGTATCCCCATTTGCATATAGCATCCTGGGAGCCCAGAATTCCAGAGAATATACAATGTATGAGAATTCAGCAAAAACCAACTCAAAACAAGGTAAGAGAATTACTTCTATAATTAAGGTAGAATATCTGCTAATGACCCCAAGAAGCAGTGCTTCCTATTCAACCCAGAAATTGCTTCAAGTGCAGGAAGAAACACTATTAACACACACACACACACACACACACAAATGCCCGAAAGGCATTCAATATCCTTTTTCACTCACACTATCCTGAACTAGTCAACCACTTATATATAAAATGGTGGCATGGGAGGGAAATGAGTGTAATTTAGAGTTCCTTTTCCTTTCCTTAGTCATCAGAATGCCTTCAAGCTTGGAGAGATCACACGTATAAAATATCAATTTTAAAGATGTAAAATAAAAACAGATTTTACATGTAAGTCCTCAAATTTTCATTTAAAATCGGCATATCACAATAAAGATGAATTCATGCCAATAATCTAAAATTTTAACTTTCTTGCAATGTCATAAAATAGCAAACAATATCATGTCAAATCAAGAGAGAGATCATGAAAGAAAAGAAACTATTTCTTAAGGTCTTTTGTGACATTTTCTCCTGCTTCTAAAACAAGTCCACACATAGAATGCCTGAAAAAACTCTACTATGAAAAACTTTGTAAATCATGTTTTTTTAATAAAAATAATTTTTAAAATAAAAAAACAAGACATCTATATATATATATATATTTTTTTTTTTTTTAACCTGGGCTCCCTGGCTCTGGTGCCATGGCTCCAAGATATATCCAGAAGATCTGATAAAGGAGGTTCCCATCGTAGGTCTGTTCCCATTGTGAGTTTTCCAGGCACTGTCAGGCCCCTGTCCTGGGAATCCCACAGGGACCAATGGATAGTATCCCCCCTTGTTGGTAAAATAAACAAAACTATCTCCCAGATGTAGCCCTAGCTGCATAGGGGAATGAGGGCAAACTGAAGTCGTAGAGACTTACTCAAATTCACATGCACCGAAGTCAGCCATAGAGGCAATGAGCTGCCTCTCGTGGAGTCTTCAGATCCAATGCCATGCCTAGCTTGCTGGCACCCATCTCTAGTGCTGACATTTGAATCTTGAACATTGTTTGAAAATACCAAAAAAGTCATTATGTATTGTAACCTTTTGATCACACCCCAGCTGGAGCCTCCACAGTCCTCCGGGAACAGATGTAGAGCAGAAGGCTCTAACCTTCAAGAGGTTCCAAACAGAATATTCCCAGGCTCTAGGAGAGATTTTGTCTTGTTCAAGGTCAACAGTAGTTGACAAATAGCCCAATACTTGCTTCCTTTGCAGCCTTGGAGAACCCAATGTCTACCTGTCCTCGAGTAAATCGGATTATCTTTCTGAATCATATCACAGTCATTTGAAATTGTGGAGGGACAGGATGTTTCCCATCATTTCCCTTAAATTTCATCAGAGAATACGACATGAAAAATAAAGTCCATGGATCTTGCACCACTGGTCAGATCGCTACTAGTGGGGAACAACTCCGAGCTATAACATACTACCCGAAGAGACACTATAAATTGCTCTCTTCCTTTCTGTGACCCCTTCAAGTCTTCAAGTGGAGAGACTAACATCTCCTCGCTGACTCTCACTGCTCCCCTGGCTGTTCTCTTAAAATCTTTCTAACAGAGGATTAAGGATCCAGTGAACACAGGTTTCCTCCAGCTTCTGCTTCATGCTGAGATGCCCTTAGCAACACACCCTAGTGACTTCGCGGCCAATCCAAGTGCGTTCCACATCCCTGTGGAGGAGGACACATCCCAAAGAGAACATCTTCACACTGCTCCAGCCCAGAGGCAACCTTTGAACTGTTCCCTGAGCACAGCAAGCCAGACAGAGGGGTCAGTTAGTTAAATTGCCCCTTTGACAGAAAAAACCTGCAGTTCTTGCCTCCCTCTTCTAGTGGACACAAGGAAAAGGATTTCTTTCGGGTCATACTGCGCCGTTCTGTGATCACCTCTCCTTCCCTTTCCACCAAACGGTAATTGTATACACATTCAAAAATGATATGATGCCACTTAAAATAATCTTCCTGGAAATATTTTCATGAAGTGCAAAAATGCTCTGACCTAAAAGTGAGACTAGAAGCAGGAAACAGGGGGAACTTAGCTTTGTAAACACTTCATAGATAGAAAAAAGTACAGGAGGGAAATGAAGCACAATGACTTCCTTTAGGTGGAGGATGAAAGGTCAATTCATATGTTCTTCTTTAAAGTTTTTGGTTATTTTCTGAAAGCAATCATTTTAATAAATGTGCATTATTTTTTTATAAACCAACAAGACAGGATATGTGCCCATTAGCTAGAATTATGAGATAGCAGTAGCTGATTACATGCACTGTCTGAAAGGAAACCAACACCTGGTCTCTATCTCGCCCCAGGTAAGTCTTATGTGAATCCCTCTTCCCAGCTGAATTTCCTACCCACAATACAGAATTTGGCCTTGACAAGGCTGCCCAGTTTATAATTACGCTTACGTCTTCATCTTCTCAATATACAAACGACAATATTGGGAAGGGTCTTGTCAGAGCCTAGAAGCAAGGTAGGTTTCTTTCTCCAGGTAACCAGGGCTAAATGCTCCCAATGGGATTTTTTGAGTGTAGGAGTCTGGCACCCACTAGAGGTAGAACTTAAGACACAAGAAGGTCTAATGGACGATGATCACAACTTCGTGCATATGATGCACACAAGCACATTAACTTTAGGCTTGAACAGCTCTGGAACTTGGGAGCTTTTCTCCTCTAAAAAACTGATGATCATCAACTAGTCACTTAAACAAAATTTTAAAAAAATTATATGTGAAGCGCTATTTTTTTCCCTCATAGCTGAAGTTTCCCCAGATGTGTGTGGAATCAGGGGGGTTGGAAATGGAGGAGCTGTCCAGATCTTTGCCCAGCCCTGACCGGGCCTTGACCAAGGACACATCTTTGGTTTCATCTTGGAAGTGTAACCACTTCGGGGCTGGAAGATAGGCAGGGCTAGCCTCAGGACAGCAGCCAAAAGCATGGGGTGAGGGGCAAGCCTGGAAAGCCCATGGCTAACACGAAATAGAAGACTCCATTAGCACAGTGAAAAACACTGCATTAGTGACCCAGAGGGCCTCTCCCTCCACCAATGGCCTCTCTGCCCTTTAACTATTCATCAGGCAGCAGAGAGAGTGCCAGGGACTTACAGGAAATACAGGGGAATCAAGCTGTATCTTGTGATGGATTGCAATGTTCCATCTTTGCTCTACCACCACCACCTTGCCAGCTGCCACAGTCACTAGTACTGCTACAGTTCTACATTCCTATGGAGGCTCCTTCTATTACTATTGATCCTTGGAAGTTTGCAAACTACTTCACAATTTGCAAAGTGCCTCCCTAGCCTGGGGGTAATGATATCATTAAATATGATCCTGGACAGGGCATTCTGGGAAGGCAGAGATAGGCTGGCACTAGAAGCCTGAAAGAGAATAGCGCACAGCTTCACTTAGGAAGGAGCAGAGTTGCGGATTTCTTTTCCCCCGACATCTGCACCCCTGCCTCCCAAATGCCTGGGTCCCGGCTATACCCACCACCCCCAGCCACTCCTAGTCCACAGCTATTGGGAGCCAATCTTCCTCTGCTTCTTCTACTGTCAACCACCAGTTTCAAGAGCTTCAAGGCCAGGAGTAGTGGCCTTTCGATTTGATCAAAAGAGCTGGACCATACCCAAATGCCACCGAACAGAAGAGAAAGGAGCTGAATAAAAGGCCTCTGCCAACACCTTCCACCTTCTCCCAGGAAGGCCCCTGGAAAGAGCCAGGCTTTCCCTTTCCACGGAATTTTTAAAGTTTCCTGTGCCAAAGGAATTTTTTAAACAGACTCCGACTTTGACCTTAATGCCCAAAGTGAGCTCTAGAACAGCAGTTGTCACCTGGCGCCAACAGACCCCTCAGCCTAGCAGCCCGGTGGAGGGAGAGCCGGGGACAGGGGGGGCTGGGGCCGAGCTGGCGAGAGGGCGGAGAGCGGGGCGGGAAGGCTGCAGCCCCAGTGCCAGAAGCTTCCCTCGCCGACCGCTGCTCCCTTCACCTGGCAACGGGCGCCCCAGAGAGAAGCTCGCAGGAGCTCATCGAAAGGAAAGAAAAGTGGCGTTTTGGAATCCATTTTGCTGGAGATGCTCAAGGCAATGTGGTACCCGGGCCCCTTGGCCTCTGAAGCCACAGGACCTTGGGAAAGGTCCTCACCCACAAGGGCTGGGGGCCAGCTGCGGCGGCGGGGTCGGGCGGGTGAGGGCCCGCCCATGACCCCCCACCCCCCCGGGGTGGCCCTGGGACAGAGCCCCCACGGGGGATGCGGCGGCACGGGGGTGGCGAGGGCCTGGGCGCCGCTGCCCGCATTTGGACGCGGCTCCACTCGAGGAGCCTTAGTAGTAACAGTCGCCGCGGAGCCAACTCCGTCCAGTGAGGGGGGCGGGGGTGTTGTCGATGGACGCGGGCGGCGCGGGGGTGGGGGCGGGAAGGGACGCAGGATGACCCCGACTTGGGAAGGTTCCATCCGAAAAGTCACTTTTCCCAGCGGGGCCCGGGGCCCGGGGAGGGGGGTGGCGTGGGGTGGGGTGGGGTGGGGCGGGGGAGTGCGCGGGGCGGGCGCGCCGCAGTGGCCAGCGGCGATCCGGGGTAGGGGGCCCGGGCGGGGGTCGGCGGCGCGCGGGGCCGGGCCGGAGGCGGGAGGCCGGGAGCGGAGGAGCGGCCGGCGCGCGGCGCGGCTCACCTGCCAGGCTGTTGTAGCAGTCGATCTCGATGGCTTCCACCGTCTTGCTCTGCTCCTCCGAGAGCCGGCTGCTGGGCTTGGGGGCCCCGGCCGAGGAGGCCGAGCGCGAGTCCTGCTCCCGTTCCGTCCCGGGCGCCAGCAGCAGCCCCTTGAGCTCCAGCAACGCCCGGTGGTATTTCCCGATGGCTTCGCGGAATTTCTTGTCCTTGTAGCACTGCGCCCCTTGGCTCTTGAACTCGTGCGCGCGCCGGATGAACTCGGCGGGCTCGGCCGCCGCCCCAGCCTGGCCCCGCGCCGGGGTCCCCGCGCCGCTGCCCGGGGCGCACAGCGGAGGCGGCGGCCGCTGCGCCTCGCCGCCCGCCGACGGGCTCGGGTTCCCCTTGGCCGCGGCCGCCGAGCCCTTCCTCTCCATTCGGCCGCCGCCCGGCGCCCCGCGCGCGCCGCGATCCGCCGCCGCCGCCGCCGCCGCCGCCGCCGCCGTCGCCGCGCCCTCGCGGGTTTAAAAGCGGCGGGCGCCGGGCGCGCGCCTGGCAAGCTGCGCCGCCGCGCTGACACCCCGCGGCGGTCTGTCGCCCCGCACTCCCATTCTCCCCGCCAGCTGCGGGAGACTGCTCGCTTCCCCTCCTCCCCCTCCTCCTCCTCCTCCTCCTTCTTCTCCTCCTCCTCCTCCTCTTCTCGGCCCCTCCCCCGCTCCGCGCCGCCCGCCCTGCGGCTCGCGCACGCACGCACCCTGCGGGCCGCCGCCGGTCCCCGGCCCCCGAGCGGCGCGTCCCGGGGCCCCCGCGGTTGGAGGAGGTGGGCTATGGTTGGGGCGGGGCTGGGAGTGCGGGGACCGCGGACCCGATCCGAGTGGCGGTGACCGTCGCTGACCCGGAAGAAGCTGGCTCGCCCGCCCGAAGGAGGGAAAGATTAATGACAAAGACAGCCTGGTTCTTCTTCCCCTCCCCATTCAGTCGAGACCTGGGGAGACGCGCCACGATTGAGCGAAGGCGGGGGGGGGGGGGGGGGGTAACGGGGAGGGTGGGTGCATGAGTGTGCGCGCGTGTGCGTGTGCATGCGTGTGTGTGAGGACGCACGCAGACTCGCCCTCGACAGTTTTAAAAACAACGGAAAGGAAAGGTGCCTCGGTTGGGCGGAGAGTGAGGGGCGCAGGCCAACCTCGCCTGGAGGCGTTCGCCTAGGGACGGTGGCGGGGCCGCCCCCTTCCGTGGTTCGTGGCTGGGGGAGGGTCCCCTGGGGTGACCGCAGGGGCGCCCGGAACACCGCGCGCGCGCGAGCGTGTCGGGCGCGTGAGAGCCCTGGAGCCGCCGCCGTGCGCCGACGCCCGGGCGTGTGGGCAGCTGTGCACCATGAATCACGGAGAGGGCCTGGAAAACACCTGTTACTGCTGCTCCCCGGGCCGTGCGTTGCATGCCTTCCAGTTTCCACTTAACAGGCCCTTGGCCCTGCCCCAGGAGGTTCCATTCCTTCTTGGAGACTTGCAGTGAGTGCGGAGTGTCAGCTGTCGGTCCGGAATTTGCGGAAGGGGTGCAGACCCGGAGCGCAACACTGAGCTGCTCTCTTGCTACTGCCCAGCCGGGGGAGGCGCACCACTCACTCTAGAAGCCAGGAGCTACCTGGAAAGGGGTTGGTTGGAAAGTGTCACTGGAGAGGAACAGATGTCTCTCGAGAGCCTGCTGAAGTGGGGGTATCCTAAGACTTAATGAGGTAATAGAAATGGTATTTGAGGGTCTCCCCTCCCCTTAGGTCACACCCGGCAATGCACAGGGGTTATTCCTGGTTTTGCACTCAGGAATTACTCCTGGCGGTGATCAAGGTGATCAAGGAACCATATAGGATGCTGGGACTCGAACCTGGCTGGGCCGCGTGCGAGGCAAACGCTCTACCCGCTGTGCTATCGCTCCAGCCCCCATCTGAGGGGTCTTAAGACAGGTAGGGTTTGAGCATAAGGCAGTGGAAGGAAGTGACGTGTCAAGCAGAGTGAGGAAATAGAGCAGAAGTCACGACGTTCAGATTCTCTGGAGGGTTAAGTGTTTTGTTTTTGTGACCTAAATGGAAGTGGTGGGAAATGATTGGTAAGATTATGGCGGCATTTGGAGCCTGAGAGATAGTCCAGGAGCTCAGGCGCTGGTCTAACTGTAGCTGCTTGGAAAGAAACCTGGTGTCATCCGCACCCCGCAGATGCAGATAGTCGCCCCCCAAGTACCCCCAGGGGTCGGTCCTGAGCACTGGGCCAGGAATAGCAGCTGAGCCCTACTGGGTATGACCCAACTCTCCTCTCCCACCACCCTCCCCAACAAAGAAATTAGGAAACATTTTTGTGGAGAGTTTGGCTTTTAGTTTTGTAAGCCAATTTTTTTTCTTCCTTCTTTGATACAATTAAAACTATTTTCAAGAGTGGGGGAAGTGACTTGGAGGGCTGAAGCTCTTTGCATGCAGGAGTCCCTGGTTTGGTCCTGAAGAGCAATCAGAGACACTGCCAGGTGTGAACCCAAAACAAAACATTTTTTTCCTTCTAAGCCAGTGGGTTTCAAAGTGATTATTTCAGTCCTGCAGCATCACAGTGACACCTGGGAAACTTAGCAATGCAAATTCCAGGGTCTTGCTCCAGATTTAGCTAAAAGTAGAAGCAATCTGCACCCTAACAAACCCTCCCTTGGTTCAGATGTGCACTCAATACTGAGAACCCCCACTCCAAGCCTTGTTATCCAAAGTGAGGGTCTTGGCACAGTGGCATCAGCTTCACTAGAGAGCTGTATAGATGCAGAATCTCTTAGATTCCAAGACCCACTGACCCAGAGTCTGCATTGTAACAGGACTACTAGGTGATTCATGTGCCTTAGTGTAAGAAGCTCTGCTCTACGGTTTTCAAGTACAAAAACATATTAGAAAGAACCCCCAACCCCTCAGTATTGCCTGCATAGTCTCTAACATTTCAATGAACTCCTTTTTATACTTTTTGCTTTTGGGCCACACCTGGCAGTGCTCAGGGTTTACTCCTGGCTCTGTGCTTAGGATCATTCCTGGCAAGGTTAGGGGGGCCATATGGTGTGCCCAGGATCAAATCCAAGTGGTCTACGTGCAAGGCAAACATCCTACCTATTGCTGCAGTCCACCTTAAAAACATTTTAAATACATATTTTTTTTGGGGGGTTGGTTTGTTGGGGAGGGTCAGGTGGAAATCGAACCTAGGACTTGAATATTCTTGCGTGCCTTGGAACAATCTCCTTAGCCCTGGCTATACTTCTTGTGCAAAGGCCTCCTTCAACAGCGATATTCGTTAATATGTAGTTTGTTTCTTGCTCTTTTTAGTATACCTTATGAGTCTAGTCTTTTAGTAAAAGAAATTTTTTCTATTTCTTAGAAGAGAAAGATAAAAATAAAACAGAATAGTATCTTAGTGTCTCATTTTTAATGACTGCATGATATTATGTGTCTATCATATATATGTATCTGTATTTTCTGTGGTCAGATGGACTCTAGTTGTTTAACCAAACAATTACAAACACCAAAATAATTAAAATAACAGTTGTCACAGTTGTTGTTACCCCTACTTAGGACTCTGAGTCATTGAGACTTGCTCAAGGTCACTCTGCTAATAAAAATGGAGTTGGGGAGCTGGAGAGGGCATACAGGAGGTATGATGCTTGCCTTGCATGTGGCCAACCCTGATTGGATCCCGAACACAGAGAGCCAGAAATAGCTCCTGAGAACTACTGAACACTGCCAAGTGGCACCAAACCTCACAACTCCCCCAAAACAGTGGAGTGGAGATTCAAAGCCAAGCAGTCTGACTCCAGGACTTATCCTGTTAACTATACTTATACTGACATTTAGTCGCAACTAATTTTTTTCTTATAAAAAATTGTATCCAAAAATGACAATTGTCACTTTGCTTTTCAGGAAGCCAGTTCTAGCTTGGACTTCCGGCCACCATGTACTAGTTTCATCTCATCTTTGCCAATATTGAAGGTTAAGTTTAAAAATATATATTTACTAAGTTGAGTTTTTTTTTTTAAATGTTGATTTGATCCAGAGAGACAGCTCAAAGCATTGGTGTTAAAGCTTTGTATGCAGAAGCCTCAGATTTGACCCATAACAGACATATCTCGGTCTCCATAGAAAATCCAGAGCACTGAGCTGGGAGTGACCCCTAAACACCACCAGTGTGATTCAAAGCCAAAATTTAAAATTACACCCCCAAACCTTTATATTAATGAGTCATGGACAAACTTAATGACCAGGGTGAATGCATAGTTGCCATTTATATTGTACCGAGGGTTTTTATTTGGACTCAATCCTAAGTAATATACTAAATTATACCTTATATGCTAGAGCACCTTAGTGTTCTAAGTGAGTTGCCACCTTTCTTCTCAATTATTGTATTAGCTGGAGAAGAAAAATGAGTTTTACTTACATGCTGACTTTGCAATGGTTTCTGACAGGTGAGCATCTTAGGTCACTGTCACTGTCCTCCCGTTATTCATCGATTTGCTCGAGCGGGCCCAGTAACGTCTCCATTGTAACAATTGTTACTATATTTGGCATATCGAATAAGTCATGGGGAGCTTGCCAGGCTCTGCCGTTCGGGCGAAATAGCTTGCCGGGCTCTCCGAGAGGGGTGGAGGAATTGAACTCGGGTCGGCCATGTTGGCCGCTTGCAACGCAAACGCCCTACCCGCTGTGCTATCACTCCAACCCGGTGCTATCGCTCCAGCCCGCATCTTAGGTAAATTATTCAATTTCTGAAACTTCAAGTTTCTTCAGTCATGAATTGAGGCTTCCTTCACAGGGATTATGACGTACAATTTCATCAGCTTCTTACAAAATTGTGTTTTCAATGGATTCCATAATAATGTTATGGCCAACTTTAGTTAATCCATAAATAACTTCCAAGTCTTGGCCCTTTTATACTCTAAAGTTTTGTGCCATGGACATCAAAGAGAAGAAATGAGGGATATGTACATACACACACACACACACACACATATACATGAAACTAACTAACTGCCTACTTGGGTCTGAAGGAAATATTGGGTATATCCAGCCTATGGGTTTGTGCTGCTCTAAAAAATAAGTTGAGAACTGGGTGGTGATAGACACAAGTAAAGGTGAGAAGTGTTGGTGTGCCAAATTTTTGTTTTCCCACTGTGTCCTGGATTTATGGTACAGTATTTTATTTTTAGATTTGAAGTTTGAGGAGAGAGCCGAAAGAAGCAGATAATCCACCCGGTATTCTCCTGTGTATGAAACAGAGCTTCATGCAAGAGCTTAATTCTAGTTCGGAGGAAGAACAGGAGTGAAGAGGGGAAGGAACATTACGGGCGTGGGGATGGAGTGAGAAGAGACTTACTATGCCCATCTGTCCTACTCCGCAGAGCTCTGCATGTGTAGATAGCTAGAAATGTTTTATTTGCTGGTTTTTAATATGCTTCTGTCTCTGCCTAAGCCACTTGTGGGTAAATGTGTACTGATTTCTCAGAAATGTTCCCCTCCATCCAAATAAAATTAAGTAGGTGCCAAAGAGAATTTCCCAAACATCCTTTCATTAACTCTTGACCATATGCAGTGCGTTATTTTAGGAAGTGAGCAGAGACACACATGACAGACAACTTGGGCA